GCCGCGAAGAGAGAGAGGAGGCTCCATTAGGCCAGAGAGTATTATACTTTAGTGTCTCTGATTAGGCCTAGTTCTAAGTTCCTTGCTACCAAACCAGAAGAGCTTCTCCTTCCGGGTTCAAGCAAAGTGAACTTTGTTTTTGTTGTATTGGACTGCGGTAGGCCTACTTGGTAGCCTACTGGTGTGTGTCACTTTTGTCAGACAGTTGAGACAGAGAACGATAAGGAAGAGCTGGTAAGACTTGTTGAAGAGTTTCTTGTTGATTGAAGTGGAGAAAAGTTTCGACCTTCGAATTGCAGGATTAATAAAATAGCTTATAATACCCTAGAATCTAGGATCTAGATTATATGGTGATCTTGTAGTTCCGTTCGTTTAAGTCCACGATCCATTTGTTTACATTCAGAGAAGAAATCCAGAAGTCTTGAAGACCAAATACTATTTGAATTAGGCTACACAAAGAGCAGGGATGCAACCTTACTGCAAAACATCAAATTAGGATAAAATAGACTAACTAGATCTAGATCTAGATCTAGATTTAGATATTTAGAGATTCTGTTTAAGTATGATGGCTAGCCCAGCCGTCTAGCCTAGCCATCGTCAACCCTTATTAAGTTTAAGACTTAAGATTCTGATCCCTGTTAAATGTTAACCCGAAAAGCGCAAACCCGAGCGGCGCTCCACAGCTGGTCCCCTGATCAGTCGTCGTCCCGCGCGGGCAACGCATTTCGTTTAGTGCAGGGTCTGCATCTGTGTGCTAAAATGTATGTGCGTCAGTCTGCTTCAACTGCTTGTGCTTGTGCCTGTGTGTCCATCTGGAACTTGCTGCATTGTTTTGCAACGCGAGGCGTTGGTAGAGATAACAGAGCGTCGGTTGAGACGTTCATCCAAATCCAATGAAATATAATGAGCATTTTGACCCAGTTAGACACTTGAGGGACTCGAAAGGATATTCAGGAAAATCATCTTTCAATGCAACCACCTAAAATAAATCCTCACTTTTCAAACAATCTAATTCTTACACCAAACGTTGTCTCCTGATGTAAATAATCATATTTGGTGGTTTTTTAACCATTGTTCTACCAGAGGGAGAAATTTGAGAGCAACTGAATACAAAAAATATTCGGAAAATATCCCATTTTTTTTCCTCTTTCGAACGATAGCTGATAAGCAGCTGTTCGCAAGTTCATTCATAATAGGTGTGAAATCTGGAAAACTCTGGAAAAGTTATTCGATTTGGTGTAACTTCCAATCTCAGCGTCTCTGATCAACCGACGAGGAGATAATTATGGGATTATTCGTGTTATCGTAACACTTTAAAAAAAAAAATCGTATCAGTTTGCTATAAAAGATGAGGTGTTTCCCTGAACTGCCGCGGCACGCTCGTGTGACCGGTGTCTGACCCTGGCGCCCCGCGGCACAAGCTCGCGGGCGACGTAAGTGGGTCATCGATCGATAAGAGCCCTCTTCTGGTTAACCCCGAAGGACTAGAGTTAAGTACGGCTAGTCTTTTCCTGAAAAATTACAGTGGAACTCAGAATCAGATTCAATGAATGAACTCATATTCAATGAAAACTTGGATACTAAAGGAGATGGATTCCCTATTTTTTTTAATTGATTAAAATCAATACAAATCGAAACTCAGATTCAATTATAAACACATCATGTGAGCAAGCTCGGATTCAACGGAGATGCTTGCACAGTGAACAGCTCCTGCTGATGTGACTTCTCTCATTTTTCTTCTGCAACCCGCTGTTCCTGGAAACCATCCATGGCATGGCATCTGCATTGTGAACCATTAATTCCTTACCCGTAGCCTGTCATTTTATGTTACCAATCAGTGGCCTCCCATACTAACACACGCGTTGTTGGCACACACCTTATAAGCATGTGTTGGGGTCGGATGGGCGGCCACCTCATGTGTGACTGTTGTGTGTACCTGTGTCCGGGGGGTAGGATGCACTTGTGGTCCGGTCGTGGAATGTCAGTAGTCAGTAGATACAAAAGTACTCACAGTAATTTTTTTTTCCACGGCTACCAATATTACAATGATTTTAAGCTCGTCTTGACATATTCTTCATAATGAACAGTGAATTAAAATCAAAATCAAAGAAACAAAAAGGCCTCTCATTTGAAACTACGAAGTGTATACAGACCCAGTAACAGAGAACAAAGTCACGAAGTATACAGACCCGGTAGCGGAACTCTTTTGTGATGTCGGAAAGTTTCAGCGCCCAGACCCAGTAGTGTGTGTGTGTGTGTGTGTGTGTGTGTGTG